CAATCCGTCATCTTTGAATTTTCTTTCCGTAGAATAACAAGTACTTAGAAAAGTTACGATATCCTGAAATATAAGAATGAACATATGATTCACAATGGATACAAACGTAGTAACGAAGATATTCATTGTATTGTAAAGTATGTGGAGACAAGTTAAACATGCAATAAATTTCATTGATATCATAAACGGATTTATTTCAAAAGCGCTGAACGACTATTTTATCCTAGTATGGGACTTTTCAGCACTGCACATCCACAACCCTACAAGCGGAAATAAATCAGTCCGCGACGTTGCGCTAGTATTTTCTGTTGTCTTCAGAGGGTAACATCCTCACTTCCGACATGGATTAGCTCCATTAGTTACAGTTTCTCACTAGTACTTCAGAGAGTTCCTATTGAAGCTAGTCATTAGTGAGCACGTGATGATCGTCAGTAAGGGGTTGTGGAGATTGTTGAATTTTGTTGAAATCATGAACCAAACTAATTTAGGTCACCATTGAAGATCTGAATACCGACCCAGTGGTCTAAACATAAGCGTTCACGCGCAAGACTAAAGGTTCTGAGTTCAATTCTCGAATATATAGATTTTTTTCATGTAATACAATGACGATATCATTGAGACATTAGGTGGTAATCCAACACTAAAGTTTTTACACTTTAGTCAGTATGATATTTCCAGAGTTACTGTAACCAAAGTTTTTCTTTAACTGTCCCCTATATCTGTCATTTAAAATAAACCTACATACAACTTTAGATACATACAGAATGAAATCGTAAAAAAGATAAAATCACAGTTCAAAGATTTTTGGGTTGAATTTGATTTCACTTACTAATATTTACAATGAATGCCGTTATTTTAATGTAAACTGTGATGTATATGTTTCAATTACTTAGTTTATGTAACCATAGTCAGCTTTTCGGTATACTATATATATTAATACGTAAAAATATTACTTTACACTCCAGGAGACCAATAATTAGTGAAAACTGGTTAATTTTCAAGTTGATAATGCCAATGAATAGATTTCCTGGATTGTTTTTGATTACAATTTATTTCTAATTGTGCATTATTAGTAAGTTATCATTGTATTTCCGATTTTTAAAATCAGATCTAAAAGAAACTATTATTAATATGTGTTTGGTTAGCATTCTGCATGTATATTTGTCACAGGTTGATTAATTATTATCAAATTCAAGTTTCAAATGATTATTAAGATCATGAATCGATCGATGTAAGACCACCAATGAAGACCTTGAAGCAATGAACGGCCTTTTCGTCTTAACATGAGACTCCTCAACAGTGCACACCCACGATCCCGCATATGGGACTGGAACCCAAAACCTTCGGTCTCACACGCGAATGCTCAACCTCTAAACCACTAAGCCGACATCCAACAGTGTTAATTTCTAACTTCAACCAAACCACGATTCTTGACGATCATCTTCCACTGTCTTCGGTGGGTAACTACCTCACACTCTACACGGATTAGCTCCACCGGTCACGGTGGATTGCATGTTTTTTGTGATTTAGAGAGGAAATGGTTTTTACTTCTACTAAGTAATGTTAATTTTCGGTTGAAAGGTTAGTTTCAGTTAAATATTTTTTAAAGTAGAACGTGTAAAAGAATTTGAGAGTAGAAAAAATTAAATAAGTTTGTTGAACGCTTCAATGATATAAATCTTGTTGCTAATAATTTCTATCATTATCTAGCGTTAGAATTTGTTACTTGTAAGGAGTAATTGAAAATGATTTTGAACAAAATGTGTTGGAGCACTCTTCTTGTTGGTTTGGGAAAAAATATGCTAAAGGATACTCGGTCTTTTAGGAGCCATATTGAAGTAAATTTCTACCCAAGCAACCAATGGGTTAAATCGTTAAAGCAAAATAGTCTTAATCAGTATTTTATTGATAATTGACGTAATAGTCGGAGGAAAGTTATGGTCACGAATTAACTTTTAAGACGATCACTGGATTACTTAGTTTTTTATTAGTAATGCTAATATCCTACTAGAAACGGTAACCCTAAGTGTTTTTTAAAATTGAAATTCTCACATTACCTTTGTCGCTTTTCCACCTGGTTGCCACAACTTCTAATCAGCTAGTATTTTGATAATCTTGAGGCTCATGCTTTTGTTACTAAATATGTAGTGAGTTGTACCGTTTTACGTTGTTCTGATTGAATACCAACTTTCCTTACACTTCGTCTTCTTCCTGTGTTAGAGGCTAGTTGTTGAAGTATTATTTGTCAGCTACAGTTATTGAGCCGCAATAGAACAGTTCCCACTAGAATGGACCAATCATTGTTTAATTCTTCAGTATAACCGGCCAACCGGAAACTCTAGTACATAGTCGTTATTATCAACATCCAACAATGATAACTAGTTTTAAAGAGAGCAAGGTTCATCGATTCTCCTTTAGTTGTCTTTCTCAAATCTCTAGTGGGAATATGTCACTGATAAAGTTCATTATATTAAAAGTGAAGTAGCTATTACACCAAATACATTGGGTATGAATTATGTAATATCAGGAACTGATTGAAAATGAAAATTTAGACTATTAAATTCTGAATTAATAGTCTAGAGATGTCCAGACGATTGTAGAATATTTTCATAGTCATTAGTTCTTCAAATTACTTTATTTCTTAATGAAAATTACCTTGAACTACACAAAATATTCATGTTAATCACTTTATTTAAACAATTGTTCACAAATATAATGGCAGTTATCACTCATGATAGGTATATTCAGTCTGAGTATGTCACTGTTTTCAAGTAAAGATTGTATTGATTAGGGAGTGATAGTTGATTCTCATTTAAATAGAATGCAAATCTAAAGAGTGGATGAACTAGATTATGTATGAAACATTTACTTAGTCACCATAAAGAATGAATATAATGAGTTTAAATATCCGATAATCGTCGACAACAGTTAACACTGTTCAAATTTCAATGCAATCACAAAAATTTATTTTCAACCGGTTAATTTTCGAGGCTTTTGAGAAGTTGGATATGTTTCTTGTTTGATCTTTTCTTAGTTATCTTTGTGGCTTACTCCATAAACTGGAACTCAATGTCTTTTGTTAATTCATCAACTTCAAATTTTCTGCGAGCAATATTTACTTCTATCTTTGTCAAGTCCTTATTCAATGTGTCAATTGATACAATCAGAAAAGTAAATATGAAAAAAAAAGAATAAAGTTGTAGATCGTTAAGAACAAAAATTTAACATCAAAAATAGTAAACTAATTAACGCTATTGATTAATCGATGATAATTCTTGAGTTAGACAAATCTTAGATTTAAATAGAGCAAGAACAAATATTGATGCAGAATAGTATGAATTCATAATATTTCGAGGTTTGTCGTCAGCTGATTACAAACCAAAAATGTGATAGAATTTTTTACATTGAGATAGTGTGAAACAATTGACCCTGAATTAATTCAGGGTGGGTGAATTAATTCCTTTTTTAACCTCTGACCTGTTCTAGCATATATATATATATAATTATTATTATTGTAACCCAGTTATTTACACACATTTATGCCAATTGTTTCACACTATCTCAATGTAAAAAATTCTATCACATTTTTGATTTGTAATCAGCTGACGAGAATCCTCGAAATATTATGAATTCATACTATTCTGCATCAATATTTGTTCTTGCTCTATTTAAATTCATAAAGGGAACCAATTGCATGAAAGATCTTAGATTATTTATTGTTACTATAATTCCTACTATATTTCACTAGAAAACCACTTTATTTACTTCAAGAGATTTTAATTTCTTGAGATCAGATCTCGAACTAGAAAATATCATAGGAACATAATTATCTTCAGACCAATACACAATGTCTCATAACCCACCCGATGTCATCAATCAAAGTAAAACAGTTACACTGTCCACCCATTATTTTTTTTTTAAAACATTAAATGAGGAAAAAAAAGAGATTATTGTAACCCAATAAACGTTTTAAATTTTCTACCGTAAAGTGAAATTTCTTGACCGGTATCATTTCGTAGACAAATGCATGGAGTTTGAAATAATATTAAACTAAACTTAGAATGTAAGCAATGATGGATAGTGGCTAGTAGTGGAATCCAGGATGCCCGTTTCGTACTGTTTGGGACTCGTCAGCTGGATGTACCTGCATCTTAGAGTTGATGTTCACTTTGGGACTCGAACCCAGTACCATTCGCACAAACGCCATCGCGTTATCCACTTACCTACTGAGTCCTGATAGTCACTTGCTTGTGCAATGGGGTGAATTTCAATTCACTTGGTATTATTTGGCTTGTATCTTCCCATTGAGGTTTAATACTGCAATTGATCAATCTGTTATCGACATATGTGAATACTGTGCGCATGTTTAAAAATTCCCATTTCCTAAAATTCAAGATGAAACTTACTGAATAAATATAGTTATTTTATAAAATATAATTTCTAATTTTTATTTAGGTTTGAATGCAGATAATCATTGTGCCTTAATTCTAAAATTCACCCATCCCTACCCATATTAATTAAATAAAATGATTACAGGTCAGTTTATAAAAAGACTGATATGGTAGGACAGATCTAGTTTTGTGCCTTCTAAATTCTATATAACCAATACGTTCAATATTTAATTCCGCATTCATATGGAGATTGACGTTCCATTATTCTCTTACCTATAAAATCTCAACTGCACAATGACAGACAATTATTCCTATCATGTCACTGTATCAATAAAACGGATTTGCCTAATCGATTCTCGATTGGCGAGATATTGAACCAAATAGTAATTACCAACAGTGGGTGGATATCTAAACGACCTTGAAAGAACTGTGAACTGAAAGCAGTACGTAGGTGGCTTATTGCATCATGAATTTAAATCATTTACGCACTATTAATCAGTATGTTTCCAAAAGCAACTCATTTATTATTACCACTCTCATGATCCTATGAAACGGTGTATCCATGTCACTAGAAGTCACATAACCACATTTATCAATCGAACGGTTAAAATGAACAACCCTAGTTTAAGGCAGAAGAATATAAGTGTCAGTGTACGTGGTAGATCACGAGTTCGAATCCAAAGGTCTCAGTCACCACAAGGAAAGATTAATTTGTCATATTTTCGATACGGATCTGTGTCTCCGCCACGAAAGATTGAATCCAATTGCAAGGACAATACAGCATCTCAAATAAACTGTGTGCAACGTCGACACAGCTTAGTGATACAAAGAAAATCTCCAAGTCCCATTACAAATTCATACGACAGGATTAGCATATATCAACAAAATAAAAAACACACCCCTACAAATGGACTCGAAACAGACATAAATGTGACGCGTACAAATAATTTACAGATAGTAAACAACCAATACGAAAAATCAATTCGCCATACAGCTCTCACCCCACATGCTAATGGTATTTCAATAGTGATTGGCGCAACTAACTCAGCTTCCAATGAAACACCAGACAGAAAGTTGTTAAGAGATGACTCATTTAATTTAAATTCAGTCTCGCCATTAGGCCGTATTGGAGAGCCAGGATTATACGACCTTGGCATACCGGTCGATAGCAGTTTAGTTTCTCTCTCTACTAGTCAGACTGACAATTCTAGTCTTAATTTTTCTGCCCTACCATGTTTGTCTATAACTACAAAGCCTATTGTACGTTGTCCTGTCTCAAATTCACATTCAATTTCCATTTCCGTTAACGGTAATGCTGCTTTATTATTGAACGGGAATAATGACAATTCTTATTCATTTTCTCCAAAATCAACTAGTGGACAGACTACAATAACAAGTTTACACAATAAAAATGTTGCTTTAAACGACCGACCACCACTACCTCATTCAGACATCAGTGTTAAAAAAAGTGGTGTTGCTGTAGTGCGTATTTCCGCTACTAATTCAACAAGAGTAGTGAGCAACTTACCTCCTAAGAATCCCACCAACGTTATCAGTGTTCGAAATCCTCCGGAGCCATTACATTCCTATAGTTCTTATGAAAACTTACTATCTAATGGGGCTAGGCGTTTCAGCTTAATTGACCAAAATCCTGAACGTGCTAAGCTGCGATATCGAAGTGTTCTAACGAACGTCTTATCCCCTAATTCGTCTCAGAGGCTTTTCCATTCATCTTGTGATCATTACGTCCAAGCGATGCCCAATGCTCAGTCTATGGGGATCGAAGATATAAAAACTAATTGTGTCCCACAGGCTCGATTAGCAAAGCCTACCATGATTAATAGCACTACTGACTTCAATACCCAAGGACGGAATGATGATTTAAGGACTCTGCTAAACTCTCGAAACCCAAGAAATAACAACTCACCTGTACACCGGAATATTCCACCTACTGGGAATAAAATTTCAGGATCTAATACTTCAGATCAACTGAAAAATATCCGTTCTAGTTTTTCTGGAACTAATAGCCAAAATTATTTCCGGATACAAATACCTAGCACACGTGCAATATCTCGACCTAAGGGATTTGCAATGACAGATAGTTTAAAATTGTATGAAGAACAAATTTTCAGTCATTGTCAACCTTCTCAACGTCCTCAGTCATGGTGTCTAGATTTCGACCAACCACGAGATGAAAATAACCCGGTAGATGATTCACATTCTAGTTCTCCAGCGTCTACTGTGTCTTCATCTTTCTCTTCTTCCTCCTCATCAGATACTTCCCAATTACTATCTCAGAACCATACGGATCTTAGAAGGATAAGGAATGTTCCCTATTATAGTAAGTTTCGTTAAATTTCTGATGCTTGATATACCTGTTTATTCTAGTGTATTGACTAGTCTATTAGTTGGAGGACCACGCATCTAATTCGTAAATTCTCCCTATATTTATGACCTTAAAGTTGGTAGCTTTTATTCAAACTGTATTGGAGAAACTACCAAACTAACCATTGTAAAGCATAGTTTTATATATTTAGGTTCGAACTTGGTCTTCTGGTTTATGTTAAAAGGCTTTACAGATTGTCAGAAAACCTTGTCTTACGGAATTTTTTGTCGTGAAAGTGTGATGGTCACTATGAAAATACGAGTGATAATTCCTGTTTGTGGTTTCCTTTTTTTGGTCCTCAAATCCGTCCCATTGCTATATGTCATGGCACTTTTATACGAACATGATTACAGGGTCCATTACCCAGTGATTTTTCATCACTTCATTTTCCACTAAACGCATTGGGTCTTCGTTAGTTTACACTCTCAATACTATTCAAAACCTGATGCAATCATTCAAAATTGCTTTCTATAAAGTTTTCATTTAGAAGCAATTCAATTATCTATCCTAATGCTGTATGGTATCCGTTGAGTGGTGCTAGATTTCACTGGTTATTTGATTTGGAATAGGAGTTTACTATTATTTCTCTGGATAATTTTTTCATAGTATTTTGTTGCTGAATTTCCGTACGTTGTTCAAAATCATTGGGTAGTTTTTCCAAGATATGGTTTGGGATGATTTCTTATTGAAAGATTCCTTGATTAGTTCAACTTACGAGTTTAAAGTTGTTTCATTTCGTCAAATTGTTTAAATGCAGTTTTTAAAACTAAAGGAATTCTGTTTAATTTTGTGTCCTGGATTACTTTTCAGATAATGTGTTTCAAACCTTTCCAGTCTCACTAGTTGATATGATGCCGGCCCAGTGGTCTAGAGGTTAGGCGTTCGTGCGCGAGACCTATAGGTCCTAGGTTCGAATCCCGTGGATGCTCATTGCCGAGGGGTCCCACAATTGGATGAGCGGCTGTTCAGTGCTTCCAGGTTTTCCATGGTGGTCTAGCTTCAATTAACTCATGATCTCAACTATTAAAATTACTATGATATCCACCAAACCCCTTCTGTTTTTCTACACAAACAAGAATTTTGAGTAAGATATATATATATATATATATATATATATATATATATATATATATATATATAAAACCCCAACGTAATTTACCCCTTTTCTATATCATAAAACTATACCACATCAACATTCCAGAACTATTAATTTTCTCATATAATATTGAGTTTAGATTAAGTGATGATTAGAAGTAGATTTCGTCATTGCGGACTGTTTGACAAGTTCACGGTTAGATTTCGTTGTAGGAAATTTTATTCTTGTCATTTCAGTAAAATAAGTTATGACCACAGCACTTACATCCTATGTAGTCTCTTCATTCATGTAACATTGATGTGTGAAGATAAGAATACCTACTCCTTTTTACCTGAGTTTTTCTGTGTTCACTTTTTAATGAACAGTTATCGTATATATGTTAAAGGTTTTTACTAAATAGTCGCATATATAAACATACTACTAACAGTCCATAAGACAAATTTCAATATCTGCAGTCTGTATTCATCGAAGTTGATACTTGACCCGATTCGTAGACGATAACAGTTCAGAAAAGTTGACAGTGGGTTTAAGACTTAATAGTCATAAAATGATGTTGAGTACATACATGAAAAACAGTTTATGAGTAACCATTTTTATGAGTATATCTGGCGGTTATATTTGGGAAAATTTAACACTTGAGTTGTTTCAAAAAAAAGAGAACGGTAACTGACCGTACCTAGATTACCTTTGTAGTATTAAACTACCGGGCTTTATTTGAAATAAGACAAGGAAGCTAAATATCATATTACAAACAGCTAAAGGCATCGGTTACTTTCTAACCAATTACGTCTGTGGCTTAGTGATTATAGCCTCCAACTTTCAGTCACCAAGTCCCGGGTTCGAAACCCACTTGGCCTACTTCGGTTTGGGGGATTAGGCACTATCATTAGCCCTTACAATTAGAGATGGCTCATACCTGAGTAAGCAACACCTATAATTAAAATTAATGTGTTGTGCGCACTAGACAACCATTCTATTTATCTTGAATTAACCTTGTCATTGAACTAAATGTTTACGCAGTTCAACTTTCTTAACATTTGAATAGATCCTCAAGAAAGGTAGTTCTATTTGTCTCCCAAGACGTAATTTTTAAGTGGATTCGAAAATTGACTGAGTCAATGTTTCAGTGATACTGGATTATTAGCAAGTTCAATTCAAGATCTGGCCCCAGTTTTTTTATTAAATCTAAAATAATTTGTACAATTGAAGGAATCTGTCCTAAAATCTTACTTCTAACTGTTATGACTTCCTTAAATATACTGTTTGTTGTTCTCTAACTTGAATAAGTCATACTTGATAAATAAATCCTTATAGAATGAATAATAAGTGATTTTCTAAAACTGAAACGTTTTTTAAGTACTAGTCTTGTAAAATCACATGAACAACTGTGAATATTTTCTAAACTAAAGTTGAAAATCTTTTAAGAATGTCTCTGCGCTTAGTTTGTAATCCTGAAACATATTTCTTGGAGAGGGGGGGCGTCTGAGAGATTTTTACCACTTTTTTTCTTAGTAGTTGTATTTTCTGTTTCATGACTGCCATTTTTATTTTTCATTTCGTTGCTTTTTTTAGAGGCTTATAGCCTTTGATGTAGGATTGTTGGAGTTATCTATTTCGAAGGTTCATTTACAACGTTAGCTACGAAAAGCTGAAATTCTTTTGTTGTGTACAGGTTACTTTAACAGTTTTACGACTCACATGTATCAATGACAGAACTATGTTTAATAATTATTCTTACTCATTTAATTTAAAGTACAATAGTCAAGTCAGTGGTAACTTCGATGTGATTTCCTAAAGCCATAGTGGGAATTCGTAATTAGCAGAATTCAGACATAGGTAGAATGAAACAGTCTTCCCCAACAGTACTCGTTGATCGTGGAACTATATTTTAAATTAATTCGTTAGAAATGTATACCACTAGAAACAAACTCAGTGGTTATAACAGTTAAACTTTCATCATGAAACCTGTAAGACTTTGGTTAGATTCCTGACGGGATCATCAGTAGACACTACTGAGGAGTCCCATACTAATACGAAACAGCTATTCAGTGCTCCCTAGTTCCCATTATCTCAACTGTGATTAATCTACGATTAATATTATCATTGTCTAGTTGTAAGCTAAATTCTATATGGAGCTATTAAACTATATTGAACAGTTCATACAATATATAGAAAATAGATTAATCTCAATGTTGTTAGTAAGTCACAAATAATCAGTATTGGTTAGCAAGTTTTCCGTTTATCAGAACACCAAGATATACGCTATAACATCTTTCAGAATATATTGCTAATTTATTAAAATAGATTATTAATGGATTTTTTCAAAATCTAGGTACATATGATCTTTTTTTACACAAATGATTATGGAAGTTCACATCTAGCGTTTTTGACGATAACCTCGTTGATCATTAGGTAGTAAAGTTAATCTGCATTTACAATTCAATATCCATAAACATGTCTTCGAGTTACATTGGAATTGTAGGGTGCTAGTGACTATGCTCGATATGTTTGATCAAAATACATGTTACTAAGCCGTTTAACTGTCGAGTCAGGATTCTAGTTCAAGTGAATTCTATTTAAAGCAATTAGTCCCTTTTATAAATTTCGATAGAACAATGAGAAGATGGAGTTGATCTGAAAAAATTGTTCAGATCAACTCCGTCTTCTCATTGTTCTATTGAATTCTATTTGTTTGTCAATGATGAGAACGTAAATAATTTTCAAAGCCTATCCGACCGTTTGAACCAGAGTAGACTAATTGATGTTCAATGCTGTAACCTTGGTGGTCAGAAGACAATTGACTCAATTACTCAGCTCCCAATTTTCTTATTTTTGGTTATTAAACTGTGTTCATCATTTTGTTGGATCTATAAACTTTGGCCAAATGTCACCATCTTAAAGTACTTTTTGTAAATACCATTTATTGGATACTTATTTATCAATCATTTAGTTTCTTGGTTATTGTGTAGCAGAAAAATAAGTAATATCCCAACTTTTGTAGGATATTTCCGTGATACCTGATCAAACTGCATGTCAATCAGTTAGAATCCTAATGATAATAAGAAAGTAGAATATAGCTCAAGGCAATGTTCTAAGTTTGTTAACCAACAAATAATTTGGGATAAATACCATACAATCAATTGATGTTTAACAATTATTTCACTCTTGTTATATTAAGCAATTAAAAATTTGAGGTTCTGAGCTTCTTTGAATAGTAAAGTACTTTATACAGTGATTATCCTCACTATCAAGGTAATATACACTAGTGTTCTGACCGTGGCCACATAATTGTCAAGTTGTAATTTAATCCCAAATTAGTAGGGTAGTGGATAATACGGATGAAATTGTTATTCATTTGTTTAAGCACCTAATTTATGACCAACAAGTCATAGATTTGAACCGTGTTTCATTCACTAAAGTTTGAATATCATAGTGGAACCCTTAGTTCTCACATAGTCGGCGTTGTTCATACCCTTTAATACATACCAATCGGTACATGATTATTATATCATATTAAGATTCATTTTATTCACTATTATGATATACTAGAATCGTCCATATTCCATGCATATTCCAATGATAATGACCTTCATGTTTGATCGACACATGATACTAGTGCATTTGCACATACACCTATTTGTTATTGCTTTTCGATGTGTGTTTATGTAGAAATGTGACTTGCCTAATTTTTTTTGATTTTGCGTAATATTTGCATCTAAGAAAAAAAAACAAATAATTCCAATTAAACTTGTTCCAAATCAATATAGTGTAGTGTTAAACCAAAATCAATTTCGTAATAAACACAACAATTCGGTGAATTTTGTTATGTATATATATTCAGAGAGGGGTTTTGTGGATA